TACGTGGATTAAAACTTATTGCTATTCTAACAAAAATACTTACCAATTTCATTTTCTATGAATAAATATAGATATTTATACGAAAACACTTATTTTCAACGATACTGTCGATTAACCATGATCTTTATATTTCCTCAGATAACTTTCAATAATCCTCAGATACCTTTCAACAAATAAAAAGATTTTACTTTTAAATTATATAAATGTAAATATAACCTCTTCTTATTTAGAAAATACCGCAATGTTGTAAATGTCAAATTTCACTGATAAATAGACATCTCAGCAGGCGCATATAGAACAGTACATATCTCTCTAGTAAGGTAAGTCCTATTGAAACCATTCAGAGCGAGTTTCTAGCGCCAAACGCGGACGGGCTGAAAACTAATTATATTTGGCTGCAAATTTTAAACCTTGGTTTTTGAATTTTAGGCGGTAATTTCTAAAAATATTCTCTGAATAGTATGCAAAATTCAAAAAGAAAATTTTTTTAATGAAAAATAAATATATTCATAAAACAAATAAATACTTATTCTATGTCAAAAAATATATTATCTGTACAAAAATATTGCTCATAAACAATTATTTGGCATTTTTATATATAAATATATATGTAACATATCAGACAGAGACAGTATGTATTATGGTAAAGGAAAATTGTTATTTATTATTTATGACTACATATATTTGTTTACCATTACATTAACAAAATAAAGTCCCCAAAACAACAAAATAAAACACTGATATCCTGACACTTGTTTATTTGTATAACTTTATTTAGTAAAGTATTGGCAACAAATATCCTCCTCCTCCCCATTCCTTAATGTCAGGGTGTGGGTGGGGACACTCTAAATATTGTTAGCTTGCTGTCTTCATTGACTGCGGTCCTGTACCAGATGGACAACTTCATACAGGAAATTTTCCACCATTGCCATACCAAAAGTTCCATACCTTCTATTCTAAGGACCATCTGTAGATAATAAAGTGTAAACTCTAGCATTTCCGTGATCTTGCTCTTCAGGATCATCAGAAATTAGTATGTAACTATTGCTCAGTAGTAGAATGTCCATGAAAATCTATAATAGTGAAATTTATTAAAATTAAGAATATATGACTTTTTTTTATAAAATAAGGCAACTTTTAGGAATGCAATATAAGAGTTGAGTTTTAATGATTTTAAAATATATATAGTATATAAATAAAAGATTCACGTTGGTTAAGGTAATTTAACTACAGAAGTAAAGGTACTACCACAGAATACTCCATTGGGATGGTGTATTCTGTGGTACCATTAACAAAAGTCTGGTATAATTAGGTGCTGTTCTTACCTGGTGCTTGTAAAAATAAACTCCTAATCCTCAGAATGTTTCATAGCCCTTCGTCCAACTTTAACTTTCACCCATCCACAAAAAATATTCTTTTGATTTTTTCGATTTGGAATACTGTTGTTATTTTACCTTCTTCTCTTTTAGCAATATTTATTAGATGTATAATGATTGATGTATAGTGTTTTTATCTCCTATTTCTAAAATTTGGAATACAATGTTTTCATAACTCCATTTGCAATTTGCAAATTTTGCATTGCAAAGACGTGGATTACAATGCTGCCACTAACACTTTTTTTTTTCTTTTTTCGGTGGATACTCAAAACTCTTTGAAAAAGTAAATTTGTGACAGTAGAATTTGCTACAATCTTTATTCTTTTGGAAAATATTGTATAGTATAATCAATAGATAAATAAAATATTAGAAAGTATAATATACGTCATTAGTATAATCATTATTTTGGTAAATATATATATGCAAAACTTAAAACTAATGAAACCGTGGCAACAGCACTTACATCAACGTCATACGCCTCTTACTATGTCATACCACGTGACTAGTAGCGCCATCACCACTCAAACGGCTGGACCCATGCAATTTACTCTCCTGACTCGTCGTATATCACTTGCACTACCATTTTTGGTACATACTGTGCATATAGAAGAATCAGTGATATGTAAGAGAGAAGAATAGTTCGTGGGCAAGGTTAGTAAAAGACAGGTTGCATGGTAACTGTGACATTGGCAGAATAAAATATGTCACCGTGACGTCACCCAGGGGGTCAAATTTACGAATTGTTTGAGAATAGAATAGGATAGTCTTTAAGTAGTTTGGAGAATATATTTTGTTATATATTATTAGTGTTTTTGTTTATATCTTAAGATATAATGTGGCTATAGATTGAGTGTTTTTAGTATATGAACCCTTGACTCCCTATTATACAAATGTTAAGATATTATATTTAATATGGTGACTGGATTTTATTTCTGCTGTATTATATAGTAAAGATAACACTGGAATTAATACAGGAAAAGGTTTAATATAAAGTAATTCAAATATTTTTTATTGATTCAAATGACTGGTGGAAAGATTTGCACTGTAGCAATCTGCAAAAATAATACAAAAAAGTTCAAGAGGATGGAAGGAATTTAATTTTTTTTATACTTATAAAAAATGTAAAAATTCAAATTCAATGGATCAGCAAGTGTCATAGGAAGGATAAGTGGTTCTGTGTTAATAAAAGAGTTTGTAGTATCCTCTTTCGCATAAAGATTATGAGCTATTTAAAAGCTAAACTAACCTAAAAAGCTGAAAAAAAAGATGGTGTTAATTCATTTACTATGAGTTATTTTTGTGATTGAGTTTTACAAAATAAAGAAAAAAAAAACGTCAACTTGTTGCTTGTACTCGTTGACAAGTAAAATTCCCTACTCTAAGGTTTTAGCAATTCCTCGCTAAAAAGATGCAAAAAATAAGTATGAGATCAAAAGGCATGGCCAGTAAAAAAAACAAAGATATTGTCGAACATATAATTTTACAGAATACAATACTAAAAAGAAGCAGATAAAAGTAATGCATATAAATACTCCTACCCAACATAATGATTTACCAGAAAAATCTTCATGTAATAAAGAATCAGAATTAGATATACTAAAAGGAGAATTAAGGAAACTGTCAGAAGAAAACGTGAAACTTCAACAAAAACTTCTAGAAAAGGAAGACACTGAAAACAATCTTAAATAATGATAACCCATTCAATTACAAATAATATTAAAAAAAACAAAGGCTCGCTGGTCTCAAAAATAATTATCAAGGGCTTTTAACCTAAGGTACTTTAGGAATACAAAATAATTTAAACAAATATCTTGTTTTCAAATATAGTATATTTGCATGCTTTAGTCACATATAATATACACAAGAAAGAATCTACTTCTTTAATTAGTTGCAATATATTCTATTATTTATGTAACTCTGTAGGTATCTCCCACATTTTTTAAAGATTAAATGAAATAAATAGTCATAAAAATTCCAAACGTATTTTTTTAATATATATTAATTAATATATTTTTAATCATGCTGCTTTCCGAGTTTATTCCAAGTGGATGAATTTGAATGTAGCATTCTCAGTGACGTCATTCCGGCCATTTGATTCTCGACGCTGATTGGTGTAAAGTTACCAGAAAACCTGTCTATTTACTAACCTTGTTTCGTCGGATAGTTCAACAGGGGCGATTTTAGTTACGGCACTTCTTATACTTCAAAACACTCCTGAAGGGGGCCTTTTTTTTTGGTTTTTTCACAACCTAATAAAATCATTATTTTTCATATATTAAATTGTTAAATTTTTAATTTTAAAAGGTATGAAATTTTCAATATAAAAAAGTATTTATTTCATGTAAATAAAATTTTACAATTTGAATTAAAAATAGGTTTGTTCCAACACAAAACGGACGAAAAACAGTCACGTATCTTTTTATTAGACTGTTTTTGTGTCCAAAAATTTACGAAACATTTTAAAAATTTTCAAAATATATTTAATTAAAAATTTCATTTTTTCAAGACTTTCCATTTAACATTTTAGCCTATTTTCAAAATTATTTAATTGAACAATTGTCCTATTCAAAAGTATTAAAAATCAATTATCAAAAAGTATTAAATCAAAGTTTTTACTAAATTTTGAAATTTTCCATTTTCATCCAAAATCTTTGTTTTGTGTAAAACTTAAGAGATCGCTGGTTAAATGATATCAGAAAAATAATGAAAAAATGCAATATTTTGACTGTAAATAAAAGTAGTGAACATAGCAAATACTCAATTGTGAATAAATTACGAGAATTAACTAGCTTCAACTCATACTGTTATCTTGTACAAATAATATTGACTCACCTTTTGAAATATTGATGTATGATACTGCCATATTGATACCGAGACAGCGTACAGTGCTTACTGTACGCTGTCTCAGTAGCAAGTGTTTCTTGAGATGGTCAGAACGAACCCTCTCGCCATTCTTAGGTAGTTTATGGAACAAATGCTCCACCATAATCAACCCTATTGTAGGGCACTTCTGAATAGTGACAATCCAATTCAACGGTCACATGATACTTTACACTTCGCAACCCTTTTTTAAAACAAAGGACTGGTAAAGAATTTATTATACACCACCTTGGTGTATATAATTTAATAAACAATGATATCTCGTTTAATTTTTGGTGTAAGGAACAAAAAAAATTAAAATCTTCAGCAAAAAATCTATTTTTTGTATTTTTTCTGTATCTTTAGAGTTATTTGGAATAAAAAAAAATACCTTTTTACCTCATTTCACTGGATAAACTATTGTTATTGACTTAAATCACTAACTATATTTCAATCCACTTTTCATAAATCATTTGATGTTTTCAGTAAGAAAGACATGAGAAATATGTCTTAAAAAGAGTATCATCATTTAGTGCAGGTATAACCTGGTATTTTATTTAGGTCTTGTTTAATAGAAACAAAAGTAAAATGTCATTCTTACACAAATAATGTATCCGCAAGTTGGGGCAGATTCATTAGCAGTGGATATAAAGGAATGAAAAGCTGAAAACAAATTACTTTTGTGCTATTGTTGTAAATTATTTCATGAATAAAATGTAAAACTTATATAGGTTCTATAAAAAAATGTATAAATCAAACAAAATTAAGAACAATATCCTAATTTATTTTTCTTAAACATATACACATCAAGCAATACTGCTTGCATTTGATGCAATCCTGGGCCATAAATCTGCACACTCTTTTGCAACTGGACCAGTGATGGCTGATCCTTTCATTTCACCTTTATTGTTGACAATGACCCCGGCATTATCTTCAAAGTAAATGAAGACACCATCCTTCCTTCTGAATGGTTTCCTCTGCCTGATGACTACTGCAGGCATGACTTTTTTCCTGAGTTCTGGTTTACCCTTTTTGACTGTGGCTACAATCATGTCCCCAGATCCTGCAGCTGGCAGACGGTTAAGACGTCCACCAATACCTTGTACAGCAATAACATATAAGTTCTTGGCTCCTGAAAAAGAAAAAAAGATAAAAATTCTATAGAATGCAATGGTATAGTGCGTGCAAGCACTCTTGACCACAGCGCAGTAGACGAAATTTGGTTTAGTCCTCACTTCCGTGCGAAATGCATTGTACTATGCACTGTATAATTCCACTTACAATATAACCTTTCCGCCTTTACGTAAATTTGACTCCGCCTTTGCGCAGTTTCACGGTCAGGAGTGCATGAGCTATCTTTATTTGCAAAATTGTAAATTACACTTTTGTTTATCTTAGTTTTCTGATTATTTTCTTAGTATGCTAATAAGTTTAATATAGTTGCAAGTAACTTCCCAACCTTACAGTGAACACCCAATAAAGGAAAAATTTTTGTCAGGTTTTAGAAAGTGGCATTCAAATCTAAGAAGAATGTTTTTGTTATTTAAGTAAAGCTTTTAGAAATGGTTATTTATCTTAAAATATGCAGATATAGATTATAAGAGATTAATTAGAATACTCGATGTAGACATCCTTAGGACTTTACTGCATTTTATCCAAAGATTTGTTTTTTATATGATCGAAATATATTAATAATTATATAGTTAACAATTTTCTTGGAAATCTTGACTAATCAAGTGGTCAGTTAAGAGATCTTTATAGAAAATGAAAACAACAAATCTCCTGTGCACAACCAAGAGTTTAAAATTACTTGAGATATCATTTAATTGATAAGTTATGTTCTTTATTTATTTATTAAGAGAAAAAGTTATAGAACTGAAACGAGAAGCTGCTACGTTTGGTCTATATGTAAATGAAAGCAAATAAAATATATGGAATGCACAAAAACGAATTAACATGAGAATCTGAAAGTAGACAACAATACCTACAAATATGGCTCCACTCTTCCCTACCTAGGCTCAATAATAAATGACAACAACATCATTCAAGAAATACAAAGCACAGATTCTTAGCGGCAATAAGTGCTTTTATGCATACAGGGACTTAATGAAAAGTAAGTTACTAAATCGTGAGTCTAAGCTTAGAATTTATATATGGATGTGAAACGTGGACCCCTCAACCACTGATGAAAATCAACAGAATATTTGAGCACAAAATACTAAGGAAGATATTTGGACAACCCACTGCAGTGATGGTTCGTGGAGAATTAAAATGAACCACGAGCTGGATGAACTAATGCAGAGAGCAGATATTGTTAGATTTGTAAAGTCACTAAGACTAAACTGGCTTGGTCACCTAGAAAGAATACCAGATAATCGAGCTGTAAAAGAAGTCCAGAGATGGAAGCCAAGGAAATGGGAAAGGCCAAGCCTTTTCCAAGGAAACAGAACAAGAGGAAGGAATAGACAACCTAGAGAGGATCTTAAAACCATGAACATCAGGCAGTGGCGAAGGAAACTATCTGACAGGGCAGAATGGAAGAACATTGTCAAGCAGGCCAAGACTCATAAACGGTTGTAGAGCCATTAGAAGAAGAATGTTCTTTATTACATAGGATTCTCTAAAATGTAATCAATGTGACCCTTAAAATTATTTTACCAATTAACAAAGTATTGTAAGGCATTAAAAGGTGGTTGAGTAATGGTAAGAATGAGATAAGGTACTTCTAATTCTAACTAATTCAACATTCAAGTAAATAAAAATCACAATGTATTAATTTTTAAGGGAATCTTCCCAGTTTTATATTTTGCTAATATATTACCGATTAAATTGTACCCCCACATGGCAATCTTGCATATCTAATATGGTCATATTGAAGGTAAATTTATTCTTCACAGGTAAATTTAATTTAGAATTCATAAATGAGTTTATTTTTAATACAAATTGCTTAGCTTCTCAAACCGTGTTTAATCAATGTATAACACACAATCAAAAGGTAAACATTAGGTAGTAAGTTGCATTGGACACTATATTCTTACACTGCCAACTGTTGCTGTTTTGCTTATTTGAGTCAGGTGCCAGTGTCACCAAAAGGTGTTTTGCCATACTGAAGTCAAGTGCCACTGTTCCCTTCTAGCATTCACAAACTGTGGAAATATGTTCTTTTTCTGAGCTTTTCTCATAGTTAGCATAATTACGTCAATAACAACTTGAATTAATTCAAGTATAATGAGTTAAATAATATTCAATAAACAAATATATGAAATATTTGTTTCATATATTTTCATATCTTCATATATGGACGGTGTTTTGCAACAATCGTCTAACCCACATTTGTTTACAAATGAGGTTAGACGTGTGAAACTGTCGATCATAATGCGTACTACATCAAGCAAAAATGATATAAGCCATATCCATACTCATGGAGGCGTTTGTGAACTAAGTTCTAAACCACATTCGTCAAATAATATGAAAACAGAAATTTGTAAAAATAGTCTAACCCATGTTTTCATTATAAATATGTGGGTTAGACACTTCTTGCAAATCGTTGTAACAGTCTTCTCATTGTGTGCACCAGATGCAAAATATTAAATTGAACACATCTTTATTTTGACTTATTAAAAGACGAGAAATTTATTATTACACTAATATTACAATTTTATTTAAATAAATAAAATTGCACCAAACTAGAGGCTTTATCTTTAATGGTAAAATACGAAAGTATATTATATAAAACTGTGAATTTTCTGTGTTGTGAGCTCGGCAATTGATTAAAGAAATTTTTAAATTTCTTTTATCGTAGATAGAGTACCGAAAAGGTAATATAATATGTTTTGCGATTACTGAAATGTTGGTGTCATGAATGCTGACAAAAAATTGCATTATCAAATAACGAAACCAGTTGTTTATTATATAAAATATTGGAGCTGTTGCTTGATAGTCAAAATTCTGGTCAGCAAAATGTTGTAGGAATATGATAAGAATATTATAGGTATGATTTGGAAGGAATTTGGTTAAATCCTGATTTCGATATTGATCAAGATTAAATCGACTAGGAGTTTAATAAGTAACAGTTACTTACTATTACTAATGAACTTGAATTCGAAGTTTTTTTTGTGTATTTACCATGTCGGAGGGATAGACGGTTATTGCAAAATGACCATTTATATTTTTACAATTTTGCAAAAACAGTCTAAGCCGCTTTAAGTTATTTTTGCAATAAACTGGTTATACTTATTTTGCTCTTGTACGATTTTTTAGGTAGCCTGTAATTATTAAAATATAAAAATGTAAAAATAAAGCCTTATTTTTTATCAGTGAATTTCTTAAAGTAGGTAAACACAATATGCTCATTTACTCTGAACCATATATATGTGGCTTAGACTATTATTGCAGAACACCATCCATATACAATTTTCTATCCAACTCTCCAAGCCAAAAGTAATACAGTTTTCAAATTACATATTGCCTCCATACTAAAGTAACTGAATATATAACTAGTGCCAATACTAAGTTACTAATAAGTAACAACAGTAAGTATTGTGGGTGCATTGAGTGCATCTTCACACAATCTATTCTATTTTGAACTTTAAAAATGCCAAATACCTTAATATTGTTAATGAATAGAGGTAGAATAGAATAGAACAGAAAAAAGCTTTATTCTCAGGATTCATAAGTTACACACAAATATAAATTGTCAATAGAGAGAATGGTATTAATTACAATAGAGATATAGAAGGTAGAGAATAGAAGTAATCCACAAGTTTTTTTACGAATTAAAAATAAATACTCAAAAATACTTTAATTTCCTAACTAGATAATGTGGCCAATAGAATTTATCCACAAATAGCCTCAAGTAAGGTATTTTGTAAAGAATTGCTAGAAAATACCACCAACAGGGAGGTTCTGAAACTGTTTTATTGCAGATGACACCTATTGACTCAAACATTGTTTAAAAAGGTCAGTTGGGCGAAAATCATTAGAAAATATTTAGTTTAATCATGTAGCAACAACCGAAACATTTTTTTAACAGAACAATTTTTACTAAAATTATCGAATATAGCTAAGATTAGGAAAAAATAACACTCATTTAATGATGCTATTTTAAAGTTCAGAATAAAAGGGTAGAAATTAAACTAAAAATGCTATGTAATAATACTGAACCTTTTATTATAACAAATTGTTTGCAACTTAACAATTTGATTGTGAAACAGTAAATAAAGTACAAGGAAATTCATCATAAACAAAAATAATCAGAATTTCAATAATTTCTGAAAATCAAGAATAGACTGATGACAAGCAATACAATACTAATAAACACGTGAAATAATCAAGAAAACGTATAACAAATTGAATTAAACGAACTATAAGAGTTTTTACAATTAAACTATTTACTTGAAAAGCCTCGGCTTAAGCAAGAATTGGTAGTAATAAGGACTGCCAGAAGTTTTGAAACCTATCAAAGTTGTGTACAATTTTACAAACATATAAAAAGTTATTCTCACCTGTGTTATCTGCACAATTAATTACTGCTCCAACAGGAAGAGCAAGGGAGATCCTAAACTTCGCTCCCGCGGAACCACCACGTCCTAAAAAACATTACCAGATACATAACCTATTTCTTTAAATATTATAAGTAATAATTATAGTGAGGCAAAAATTGCGACTGAAATAAATATAAATAATCCTGCTGAAGTTTAAACGACATTTATTTTTAATAAAATCACTAGGATGTTTTCTATTTTTTAAGATGAACTTAGGAAATTTAAAAACATACCTCTCTTGGACATTTTGTATTATTGAAAGAACTTATTTTGACAGTTGAGAGACAGGCGTGAAGTTTGTTTCTTCATTGATCTTGAAATATTGATCTCACCTGTAGTGGTTAAACAGCTACTAATGACATTTATAAAAAGAATAGGATATCAACCAACCAACAAAAAATTTAATTTTGACTTTCAAAGTCAATTTTATTTGAGTTCAATTTAAATATAAAATACATTTGGGCTACTAAACTAGATTTCATTTTGATGTAATAATGACCTTAGTTGACAGAATAAGCATTGAACTTGGTGGTAAGCAATTTTTATTTGATCTTCTGTTCTAACTAATAATTTTAATTTTAGCTCAAGAACCTTGGCCCAAAGATGTTAAATTATTTCAGCCCTATGAAGTCGAACAGATTTTATTACCTGATAATGCTAATTGCCTCGCAACACAAGCTTTTCTAAAGATGTGTCAACTAGATTATTCTGTAGAACCCAAACCTAATGCTGAAGCAATGTCTCCTACCTTGAAGGTACCTTTTATAAAAGCTGGCCGTTTTGTTATAGCTGAATTAGAAGGCATTGTACAATTTGTAAATGGCAAAGGTATAACTTTAACCGAAAAGTTGGACAATGAAGAAAAGTCGAATATGAGGGCATATATGTCCTTAATACACAGTGTGTTAGAAATGGCAGAAGTATGTATAAAATCACTTACATCTTAAAATTGATTAAAAAATTGAAATTATATTTGATTCATTAATGAATTTTACAGACCAATCAATTGATAAAAGGCTATTTCAGTCCACTCAACTTTTGGATTAATCTACTAAAAAATAAGTGTTTTTGGCATTTTGGTATCATTTTCTACATTAATGCATATCATCTTCAGGGGTAAAGAAGACTATGTTTCCATTGATTGATTTTTATTTCTCATTGATTGATTCTTTCTTAAATTTCTTACAATTTTCTCCTCGCACCTTACCTATAATTATTTTCAATGTTTGTGAAATATTGCCAATGTGTTTTATTTTTCTCAATTATCTATCATCTAAAAATTGTGCATTCCTCCTCATCTAATCCTTAGTTTATTCTGTAGAAGCACATCACGTGATTTCAATCTTTTGTAAATTAGTTTCAGAATGGGAATATGTCTGATTTCAAAATGTCATCAAAAGTTACTTCTATGCCTAATTTGCTATGTAGAATCTGTGCTTAATATTTGACTTTTGGGTAGTCTCTATTAGGAATTCTAGGAAGAACATAACATCTTTGAAAGCCAAAAGTGAATAGGTATTTCTATTATGGTCCTCTATAAGATTTTAAAATTTGTTTTAAAACTGTAGAAAGCTTAAAGATGAACTGCTGTTATGAAGATTTTTTATAAAACTTTTTTTTTAATTAAATCTTACATTTACTTTTTTAGTTATATATTTCTTGGGTGGATAACGAAACTTACAATGAAGTAACATGGATTCGAAATGGATCAGTTTTTCCTTGGCCACTGAATTATATTCAGAATAGAAATAAACGCAGTCAAGTCATTAAGAAATTAAAAGCCCTTGGCTGGTATGACAAAAAATTAGAGGATGTATATACTGAAGTTGAAACATGTTGTGAATCTCTACAAACACGTTTAGATGGCAAACCATTCTTCTTTGAGCATGGGTAAGGCAAGGGCTTATGCAAAACAATAGGGTTATGGTGGATAGAAAAAATTTTGTATACCTACAAAAATTCACCTTTTTGTTTTTTACATTCATTTGCAAATTTATTTTTTGTAGACCTACTGAATTGGATGCTTTAGTTTTTGGTCACTTATTTACGATTCTAACAACTCCTCTTCCTCGAAGCGACTTGGCAAATATTATAAGGAACTACCCTTCATTGATTGATCTGGTAAAGAGAATCGAAAAAGATTACTTTAAGAAAGAAAATATATATATAGTCCCAAGATTCCTAAGAGGAACATAGGGCTTCCACAAAGTGTCTCCAGCGAACTCTATTTCTGGCTAGTGCTTTGATTTCAAGCCAGGATTTTCCCATTGTTCTCCCTTGGTCCAGTACTGTCCTTCTCCAAGTTCCCTTAGGTCTGCCTACTTTCCGTCGGCCTTGGGGATTCCAATCCAGTGCTGTCCTGGCAATGTCATTTGGCGGTCTACGGAGTGTGTGGCCCAGCCATCTCCATTTTCTTCGCCTTATTTGCTTTATGACATTTTCTTGGTTGCTTTGGTTCCATAAATTTTCATTGGAGATTCGGTTAGGCCAAAATATACGAAGGATTTTTCGTAACGCTCTATTAATGAAAACTTGTAATTGGTGTACTATGGGTGCTGATATCTTCCACGTTTCGCAGCCATACAGTAATACAGCTTTTACATTTGTGTTGAAGATTTTTAGTTTCGTTTTAGTTGGGTAAATCCTGGATTTCCATATGTTGTTAAGCATGTTGTAGGCGTTGCAAGCCTTATTTATTCTTTCATGTACATCACGCTCTGTACCCCCATTACAGTCAATTATGCTGCCCAGATATACAAATTCCGCTACTCTCTCAATTTTCTGGTCGTTGATCATAATAGGTTGGTTGTTTCTGGTACCAAATCGCATTTCTTTGGTTTTGTTGGTGTTTATTTCTAGACCAACCTTCTTTGATTCTTCTTGTACTTTGTTTACTTGGAGTTGCATGTCCTGTTTTGTATGTGCTAGGAGGCATATATCATCAGCGTAATCTAGGTCTTCCAGTCTGTTTGTTAATCCCCAGTAAATTCCTCTATTAGAGTTTACCTTTGTTAGTACGGAGTCCAGTACAATGTTAAATAGTATAGGGGATAAAACACAGCCCTGCTTTACTCCGTTTAGCATAGCTATTGGGTCAGATGTTATGCCGTTGTGTAGGATTTTGCTTTCTGTGTCACTGTAGAGTTCTTTGATGAGATTTACTATTTTTTCTGGTATTCCTATTTCCTGCAGTGCTTTCCATATGGCCGTATGTGTGAGCGTGTCAAAAGCTCTCTTGAAGTCCACAAAGCACACAAAGAGAGGAGAGTTGAATTCCTGTGACTGTTCTACAATTATTCTTAGTGTGTTAATTTGGTCCACGCATGATCTGTTTGGTCTGAAACCGGCTTGTTCCTTCCTCAACATTGGTTCTACACTCTTTGTTAGTCGGTTGTTTATAATTATTGCTGTTAATTTATTTATAGTATTCAGAAGTGTGATTCCTCTCCAGTTTTCGCAATATCTTCTGTCGCCCTTTTTTGGTATCTTTATTATTAATCCCGTTTTCCATTCTTTGGGGAACTTTTCCTCTCTCCAAGCCCTTTTCAAGAGTGGTTGGATTAGCTCTGCCACTGTACCTGGGCAAGCTTTTAACAACTCTGGTGGAATATTGTCAGGGCCGGCTGCTTTGTGTGCTTTCAGTTTTTCTATGGCCATTTCTATTTCTTGCGTTGTTGGTTCGTTGGTGTTAATTCTCAGTTGGATATTGGGTATTAGGTTTTCTGCGTCTTCTGGTGGTGTTGGGACTGCACTTAGAGATTCGCTAAAATATTCATGCCATCTTTTGACTTGTTCCTGTGGCGTTGTAATATCTTCACCTGTAGCACTTTTTACAATTGGTTGGTGGGTAGTATATCTTTTATTGGCTAGTTGTTTAGTGATATTATATAATTGTCTCATGTTTTGATGTTCATCGGCGACTCGCGCTTCTTCGGCAAGATTTTCTGCCCACTTTCTTTTGTCTTTCTTTGCTGCCTTCTTGACAGCCTTATTCGCTTCTCTATAACTTTCTCTAAGTCGGTTCTTCTCTGCTGCTGTCTTGGAATTTAGTAATTCTAGATTAATGTGTTTGCGACGTTCTATTTTGTTCCACGTTTCTCTCGTAATCCACTCTTTCTTTACGTCTTTCTTTAGGCCCAGCACGTTTTCACTTGTTTCCACAAGGGCTTTGCTAATCGTTTCCCAATTTTTGTTCTGTCTTTCGTCGATTTTGGATCTCAGCTGTCGTGCGAATTCTACTTTCGTCTCGTTATTTTGTAGTTTCTCAATGTTGAACTTTTTTCGAATAGGTTTGTTCAGTTCTTTTCTATTCCTAGCTATTTTGAATCTAATTTCGGCCATCATCAGGTAGTGATCACTGGCCGCATCTGCGCCTCTCCATGATCTGACATCTAAGAGAGATGTTCTCCATTGCTTACTGATTGCAACGTGGTCGATTTGATTGTAGGTGCGGTTATCTGGCGATTTCCATGATACCTTGTGGATTGTTTTGTGTGGGAACAAAGTCCCTCCAATGATTAGGTCATGGTTACCACATAATTCAATGAAGCGTTCGCCGTTGTTGTTTCTCTGGCCAGTGCCATGCTTTCCGATAACGTGTCCTAGGTTGGTGTTGTCAGTGCCAACCTTGGCATTGAAGTCTCCCATCATTATTTTTATATCGGATCTTTTAATTTGTTCTAATGTTGCTTCAAGGCATTCGTAGAAATCCTCTTTTTCTTGTTCTGTTGGTGCATAGCACTGAATCAGTGTTACCAGTCTTAATTTGGTCCTAATTCTTGCAGTGATTATTCGCTCTGAAACAGGTTTCCATTCCACAAGAGAATTTTTTGTGGCTTTACTAAATAGAATTCCTACTCCATTTTCATGTCTTCCGCCATCTGTTTTACCAGAGTATATCAGCAGGTCGCCTTCCATGTTGACGTGCTCTCCCGTCCCATTCCACCGTGTCTCACTGAGACCTAGTATATCGACTTTATATGCTTTCATCTCTCTACAAATTTGGGCAAGGTGTGATGCTTGCATCATAGTTTTTATGTTCCAATATCCGATAGAGGATGTATATACTGAAGTTGAAACATGTTGTGAATCTCTACAAACACGTTTAGATGGCAAACCATTCTTCTTTGAGCATGGGTAAGGCAAGGGCTTATGCAAAACAATAGGGTTATGGTGGATAGAAAAAAATTTGTATACCTACAAAAATTCACCTTTTTGTTTTTTACATTCATTTGCAAATTTATTTTTTGTAGACCTACTGAATTGGATGCTTTAGTTTTTGGTCACTTATTTACGATTCTAACAACTCCTCTTCCTCGAAGCGACTTGGCAAATATTATAAGGAACTACCCTTCATTGATTGATCTGGTAAAGAGAATCGAAAAAGATTACTTTAAGAAAGAAACCAAGTCATAATTGGGATTTTTAGATGTTAGTTGATGTTGAGTACTAGATTTGTTAAATAAAAGTATTGTTTTTAAATTTAGTTTTATTGTATAAATATTGAATAAAAATTAAAACCACTTGATATTAAAAAAAAGCCTCAAATATTGATTCATGATACTTATACTTGAAATATTAAATGAAAATATTAAACATATATATTTCAGTTAATAGCCATCCTAATATGGTATGAAAGCAGCCATCCTTACTAAATCCATAAAAAATAGAAGCCCTTAGTTCATTGAGTGGTTTCCATTAAAAAAACTTTTGGAGTTTTGGACTATGCTAGGGTTGCGTGAGTCACCCTGTACATTTAAATTTAGATATAAAAAGTTGACGAGTCTCATCAGTGGAAAATCAGTATTCCATAAAGTTTACACTACACAATTTTTCATGTGATTTGGTCATGGAGTGAAATTTACATGTTTACACTGTGTGATTTGTCATAAGCACTGTCATGTTGCTCGTCACAGGAGAATAGGATGGTACCTATTCCTCATGATAAAACCATATGATTTTCGGTAATAATACCGGTAATACCAACATATTTAAATATCGCGCCTTATTCTTATGTCAATTCAGCGACATTTCCTTACCAAGAGACTACATCCTTTATTTATTTATTTTTTGTTTGTTACATTGATATTGAGCCTATTGCCTAATCTGTGCATGTGATATTTTTCTTTTATTATTTATTTAGTTCATTTTATTCTTAGTTTAGTGTTTTATAGTCTTCTTAGTCATAATTAGTTTAGTAGTTTAGTTTCTTTATTAATTATTTTTCATTTGGTATAATACAAACACTAAATTTGACATACTCCATCCACCATTTCTTCATAAGAGCCACCTGAGAGTCCAAATGTGTCTGATCCTTTTCTTCTTACTATTAGCTGTACGCAGTTGTTGCCGTCGTATTATTATTAAAAGTCGGCAAGCCAATGCAATCAAATATTTGTTTTCCAACATAGTAGTTATTACCTATACTGTGTCTATGACCATAAACAAAAAGAAAAATCAATAAAACCTCATTGTCACTCATATCATAAGTCATAACTTATCATTCAGTATAAACACGACTTTTTAAAACAGATTTGAATATAATAGAAAAAAGCTTTATTCTCAGGATTCACAAGTTACACAAATATAAATTGTCCATAGAGAGCATGGTGTCAATTACAATTTATAATGGTTGCTGTAACAACCTACACTTACATAAAAGTAATATTAAAATATAATTATAATAACAGTGACATTTAGATTCAGGTAGCAGCCCTCAGACTGTCTGCAGGTCAGCTTAAAGATATTCTTCTTTGTATGGTTCACGGTGTATGAGCAATTGTTGAACAGACTTTCTATATTTATTTATGTCAGTCTCTATTTTGATGCTGTAAGGCAGTTTATTAAAGCATTTAATACAGGCATATTCTGTGGTTTTCTCAGATGCTGTTAGTCTATGTATTGGTATATTATACACTCACCGGCAAAATTAACGGAACACCTTAAAATTGGGACATGTTAGATGTCTCGAATTTCCTAAACCTGTTGTCCGATTTTTAGTATGTTATAGGTATATTATTTAAGAATATCGATGTAATAATATTGTTGCTAGACACGTCAATGTCATTTTATACCGGGTGTAACAATCCTACTGTGTTTTTTCCTTAAAGTTCGGAACACCCTGTGGAATATTCTAGCATATATAAAATATTGAAATTAAAACTTAATTATAGCCTCAGGCTTTCTTATCATTTTCTTTTTTGATTCATTTGCTTATTTTTGATAATAAAAAAGTTAGGTACGTTAACAACTAGCCATGTTTTTCATCAATAAATCCTCATTTTCTGCTTAGTTTAAAAACAAGCCCAAAGTAGGCTATGAGAAGTTAACAATTTAATACACACACCGGCAAATTTAAAGGAACCTGTTATTAATGCAATATTTCTTTATATTTGTATTTTATAGACTATATCTACATAGCTTTGAAAGCTCCTTGTCACAAGAAAGTCTTAAATGTCAAAACGTCAAATTAATTTGTTTATTTGTATTGTGTTTTACATTTTAAAGTCATTCTGTCTGTTCATAACAAGTACAAATTTGTATTTAATTGAGCGCACAGTAAGAAAGAGACTTAGAGAAGCCGGTCTCAAGTCATATGTGCCAATAAAAGCTCCCAGACTCCAGAGACACCATCGTTTAGCACGACTACAATTTGGTCGAGTACATCAAAATTGGAATGATAACCACTGGAGACAAATTCTCTTTACGGACGAGAGCCGTTTCTGTGTAAATTACATCGACGGTAGAGAAAGATTGTATCAACGCCAAGGAGAACGAAATGCCCCATTCATTTTTACTACGACCGTACCTTTTGGTGGAGGTTCAATTATGGTGTGGGGCGGTATATGTTTGGGAGCAATAACAGAGTTAGTGGTGATTGATGATGGAGCATTAACAGCAGATAAGTATATCAAAGATATTCTCCAAGACCATGTGGTACCTTTTTCACCATATATTGGCGAAAATTTTATTTTAATGCCGGATAATCCGAGCCCACACGTCGCAGACTGTGTAAGATATTTCTTATTACAAGTGGGTATAACAACGATGAATTGGCCAGCTTGTTCCCCAGACCTAAACCCGATATAGGATATGTGGGACATGCTAGGCAGAAAACTTAGGGCACGGGTTCCTGCTATTCAAAACAGAGAAGAAGTCATAATTGCTTTGATTGAGGAATGGGAGAGACTGCCCAACAACTGATCGATAGCGTTATCAGAAGTATTAGAAGACGAATAACTGCAGTTGTAAGGGCTCATAGGGGAAACACACGCTATTAAAGCCAAAAAAATGCATAAAAAACAATTTAAGTTCAAACTGTACAATAAAGTTAATGCGTTTAAAATCCGTATTTTGTTGAGCCTGACATCTTTGTGTTTTATTTCTTCTTAAACAGGTTTTATATTGTACTACCATTGTAATATAAATTCAAAATACTTCACCAACATTCGTATTATGATATTATCTAAACAGTATATAGACTAGAGAAAAAATACTCAGATTTTATGGTTGTTACACCCGGTATAAAATGACATTGACCTGTCTAGCAACAATATTATTTCATTGATATTCTTAAATAATATACCTATAACATACTAAAAAAATCACTAAAATCGGACAACAGGTTTAGGAAATTCGAGTCATCTAACATGTCCCATTTTTAAGGTGTTCCGTTAATTTTGCCGGTGAGTGTAGTTTATGAGGTTGTTTCGTGTATTAGTATTGTGGTTTGTTATGTGTTTCAAGAATTTATGTCTATTTTTAAAAAATGAAAAGTAAGCATTCATATGTATGTTTCAGCCATTGTTAGTATGTTTAGCTTTTTGAAATTACCTCTACATGAATCTCTGTATTTCAAGTTAAGTAGAGTTCTGATTGCTCTTTTTTGTAATATAAAAACCTGTTCAGTGTTACCACTTCCCCCCAGATAACTATTCCAAATCGCATTACATGATGAATAAATGAAAGCAGCTTATTAGCAACAAAATCGCAAAACTCTGTCCGTAGGTCCCAATCATCTACTGATAATTTTTGAACCAATTGCATTTTATGCATATACCATGGTTTAGTGCTTTTGTTGCAGAAGTTTGGATTTTAATCTATTGCAATATTTTGTCTGATAAATAATCATCATCCGTTTTGACTCCACTGCTGAACATAGGCTTCCCGTAAATAATTTCATTGCATCCAATTTTGAGCACCTTTCAATAATATATTTATTTGGAACTCTGTATGTATTGCATTTAATAGTCTTACTCGCAGGTCTATGATCTAAAATTATTGTAAATCTGATCGGAATAAGGATCGGGTATAAGATAAATCAAAAATATGTTTAAAAATACTTTTAATTATGTTAGAACAATGTTACTACAAAACCTTTGAAATACGATTTGCACAATCGCAAACAGGTTAGGAACCAGATTCCCATTGCACAGTATTTACATTATAACAATGAGCCTATGATTCAAAACCAAAAACAGTTTATGCAATAACATATAAAACTTACGATATGAAAATCTTAACTAAACATATTTTAAATACAGCTAATTTTCACTGGAACTAATCAAAAAGTTTCAGGAAAAATGTGTACTTATATTTAGAACAAACTAATAGTACACTCTAGATAGATCTTTTGATGCTATTAGTTTATTCAGTTGAACAGTATAGAAAGAAATATCCAAAAATTCAAATTATCGTATGAATTTTCTAGATATTTGTTTCATTTTTTTCTAATAACGTTTAAGTATCCCATCACCATTACCCTGCAAAGTTATTATTCACTGTTAAGAGTTATAATTTCGATTTGTCATAAATTTTCTATCGATATCTATGTAATTACTCGTGTTTTTATTATCACAACGGTTCTATGTAGTTTAACCTTACTATTACTTAAAAAAAGCAGTCTGTAATATACACGTCACAAATATCAATTTGTTTCAACAAAAATCGGTTTCCTTCTGCAAAAACCTTAAAAATAGTAAATATTAGATAAAGGAATATTTCAGCTATATTTAAAATGATCCAAGTTGACTTATGTTCATGCTGATAGCATTTTTTTGTAATGATGACTTTGGTTTGCATTTTTGGTTGCCTGTTTTTTGGATTTCCATTTTCTGGCTAAAATGTTTTCTGCCTCCTGTATTTTTAGTACGAACTGATTCATCTAGTAATCAAAATAATTTTTGTTCCTGAAATTCTGCAGTTTATTTTTTTTTTCAGGCCTCGAATTGGAAATATTCCGTTTAAATATTATAGTTTTCAATTACTTCGGCATTATTTCGAACAGTGTAGGTGGGTTAATGAGAACACGAATAGTCTCAAAAATTTCATAAAATTTTAAGTTATTGATATCTTATGACGTGTATATGTGTACAGCAGTAGCATCATCCTTTTCTTAATTATGAAACTGGCATCAATAATTCAGAAAACGATGTGAGCAATATCAGCCAAGTTTTATGGCACTTTGAGCTATCTCAAAAACTTGGAATTTAACGAACATGGCAGTATAACTAAAAGTCCACGAAATATTTCATCAATCAATTAGAGTTCATGAATCTTTTAAAAGATTTCAAATAAATTAAGTACGATTGCCGTAGAAAATAAATGCTAAAAACTCTAACTGTTGCTTTTGGAACTACTGTCTAAACTATTTAACTAGTATGGCTATAAGCTGTATTAGTATAGGGTCCGCTATAGATGGAACCGCTAGAGTGCGATGTTGTCTTCTTTCTTCTCTTTGCTAGGAGGCACAGAATAGCAGTCACAACGCATAGCATTAAAATCAGACCTGCTATACATATCCCAATCGCAAAGCTTTTCTGAGAGATGCAGATGCTGTCTGAGGTCTAAAAAATAAAAGATTTAATTATAACATTACAATTATAAAATACATTAATTATAAAATAACAAAAACGTAGTAAAATATTATCAACTATACAGAAATTCGACAGATATTGATTGATTTAAAAAAAACGCGATAATTTTATTCCCAAATAAATGGTGCTTTGAAATTCCTAATAAAATTACTTGGGTTACTATGGAAACGTATTAAGGTTGAATTGTCAAACTTCTATCATTTATATAGAACACTAACAACTGTACGGAAATATAATTTCCTTACAGTAAGGAAGTCCTGACTTTTTCTTCAAGAAATTTTGACAGGAATGTCAAAATTTCCTGGCGATTTGCGGAAAAATCATATTCCACTTATCAATTTGCAGAGGCGTAAAAAAATTAATTATTTATTTAAACACATAAGTTATTACGTAAAAATTAAATCTAAGACCGATATAATTATTAAATTATTATGTGTCCTTTATCAGGCATCTTATAGTTGTCTAAGAAAATAAAGTAAAATTTTATTCTTATTAGACAGTACCTAATACAGAACTTCAAAAAACAGAAAACTTTGGAAAATACTTATTTTTTTCATTAGAATAAAAACAATCTGAAATTTTAACATACGATCTCGAAATTACATATCATTCTCTATTTATAGAATTGCTGTGTGCTGTAAACGTCATATTTGTTTTTTTTAACTTAATTTGAATATTTCCTTGTGTTTATTTGTTTATATAAATATAAAATATATTATGAAGTTCATATAAATTAAATTAAAGTAAGCTAAACTATTATCATGTGAATGCGTTTATATAGTAGTGCATTTGTTTATTTCAGTAAATTCTCGAAATATATATAGTAGTGCATTTGTTTATTTCAGTAAATTCTCGAAATATGAAATGAAGATGGTATTAACTACTAAAGAATTAGTAGCTTTGTTAGAAGAAGATTCAGATTGTGAAAATGCTAACTTACTTAATATGGTTTATTTGCCGCCGAGATTAGGTTAGAAAATTTCTGATGTAGAAGACATTGATGTTAATATTATTTGTGAAGAATCAATACAATCGGATATTGTAGATACATATGAAATACAAGTGATTAGGAATTCTGACGATTCTGATTGTGATATTCTTTTGAACCACAGATAAAACGTCAAAAGAAAAAACTAGGCAAAAATAGTAAATCTAAATTTGTCTCAAGTTGTAACAACAGATACTCATTCGTGCTCAGTAATAATTTAACCAGTCTGATTGATATTTAGACAATTTAAAAGCCAACCATGGAAGCAAGTCATATATTCAAGTTTTTTTAATCTTTTTTTGATAAAAAAGTAATTGGGGGCATTCTATATTTTACAAAACCCCCTCTGTGGCTCAGTGGTAAGAGCGCCTGCCTTTAAATCTAAAGGTCGTGAGTTCGAATCCCACCTGGGTGGAAATTTTCGTTTATTAAAAAAATTAATAAATGAAAATAATTTCTATCCTTGTGTGATCGGTACACACCGGAGGGACCGCAGACGTTCGGATACAATTAGCGTCTCTTAGCAAAGACAATGACGTCGACTTTGCTAAGTAACAAGACAATTACTCTACACACACACACACACTACACCTCAAATTGTAAGATTGGCGAATGGATTTAGTGTCCGCAGTCATTTAAACACAAACAAACAACAACAATATTTTACAAATATTTATGCATCCCAGAATAACCGTCACGATTTTGAAATGAATAACATAGATTAAAAAAAAATATTAGCATATATGTATATTATCTGGTTTACACTCTGCTTCAAGTTGATATGCATTGGTTAAAGGATGAGAATAAAGAAAAGTACGTTATAAGAGAAAACATAAGCCGACATAGATTTATATTTATAATTTATAATAGTGAAGAAACCGCTACATTAGTGTCAAACTTAGTACATGGACGTCAATCTAAATTTGCTTTACCAGATGAAATTAGATACTAGAAAATATTGGCCATATTACAAAAAGAGACGATAGTGCAAAAATGTAGGATGTGCAAAAGTAATACTATTTATTTGTGTAAAAGGTGTAGAATGCATCTACACCCTGAATGTTTCGAAAATTTTCACTTTAAAATTTACATTTAAAATACAATATGAGAAATTTTTTTCTCATATTAATGAGAAAAAAAAACTTTTTGGAAAAATCAAAACTATTTTAAAGTTAATAATAAAGTCTATTTAATAAACATATTCTCAAGAAATAGAACACACTACGCCTATGCACATATATAATGTTGGAGGAATAAACTGAAGTATATTTCTCTCATTACCATTCTATCTAAGAACGTAAATACATACATATATATATATATATATATATATATATATATATATATATATATATATATATATATATAGACCAGCAAAATATTGATAAGTTTACCGATGTTTCAAACTATTCAATGAACTTGTCTCACTATACACTCGTGAATCGCACCAATTTATAGTGTTACGGGGGAAAATCTATCTTACTTTTTTACTTATTTACATGGGCGAAGCATATGCAATAAAAATGGCCCCGGTAAGATTTACTGCTGAAATTTTACATGGTTATCGCTACCGTTTAGTTCAATTTGTAGATTAGTCACCTTCAATTGAAAATTGTCTGACTATAGAAGCTTTTAAAATATTAATAGAGGATCTTTCTGAACTTACCTTTTCACTAAATACAGAGTCTTCTTCCTCTGGTTTGGCGACATCATTTGCTTCGTTAACATAAAGTCCCGTAAATAATTCGATTTTGGCTGGAGTTCCTTCCTTATTATCTGATTCTGAACCAGCTTGACGACGAATCCGGTTGCCGTTATTGTTCCAACAGGTAGGCTCCTAAATCAATTAGGTATACATAAATAAAAAATTATACAATCATAACAAAATAATAATAATAATAATAATAAATAAATAACACACGTCACACGTGCAAAAGAGATAGACTGATCGCGTGCGCGTGGGTTTATCTTTAGTTCATAGCATCATGTATTTATATAATACAGAGTATTTTTTTTATAAATTCTTATATTATATTCACGATGGAATGCTGAGCAAAATGGTGGTGTCTTTTGAGTGCTTGTCAAAAATCTGTTACCAACTGTCTTGAGGAACTGTCATTTTTCAATTAAAATTACTTCCTTCTTGTCTGTCAAAATTTTACTTGTCTGTTTTATGTCATTTTAAAGTGGAAATATACTTTCAAGTTTAACTGATGATGGTCCGTCTGGACCGAAAACTTTTTGGAATACTTATGGTTCTTTTGGATCAATTTTAGTTATTTATAAATATCTGGTGGTATTATAAGTAAACTCTTTCGTAGATTAGGACAGTGCAATCTCAACAAACATTGGTTCTAGACAATCCAACCCTTTTAGGCATTCACGTCAAATTTTAGAGCAATTAATAGCACTATAGAACATATACACAACATCTGAACATTGATAGAGAACCTGTTAAAACATATATACATACGTAAACGCTACATTAGAAATAAAAATTGATGAGTACGCAAAATCTAACAAAATACAAATTCAGAGAGGAGTGAGACGAGGTAATATGATTTCTCCGAAGTTATTCACATTGGTTCTAAAGGACGGTTTCAAGGATGACTTAGATACCTAAACCAGTTCCGCTTTGCGGACGATAGTGTCATCATAATTTGTAGCGAACTCAACGAGCTACAAGAAATGCTTTCCCAAAAAAGAAATATTTTAGAAAGAATAGAATTGAAAATGAATCAAATAAAGACCAAGATTCTTACTTTTGGAGGAAGTACCAGTTACTGAGGGGGAGTAAGTGAAAGAGTAAAAGAATATATTTACCTAGATCATCCTAATAAACTTAGAGGAAACAGAGGAAACCAAATCGCGGAACTAGATCGAAGAATCCGCATGACATGGGCTGCCGTTGGTAAATTTAGAGTTGCTCCAATTTTCTTCTTCCTGTGTTACGGATATTAGTTACGGATGTTAGTTACTAGCATGGCAATTCTAACTTTATCGACCGCAGCTCGAAATAGTCATGAAGTGGTCAAGGAAAACCAATTTCGTAAGTTCTGGAGCCAAGATATTCTTCTTTTTCCTGGTCCCCTCTTTCCGTAGACCTTTACCTATAATATAAGTTGCAGCAGGTTATATCTATGATCGTTTCGTATTATTTGTCCAAGATATTCTAGCTTGCGCTATTTCACTGCTCTCAATAACAATAGTTAATGTACCTATGATCAAATCGACATTCTCCCAAGTCTACAAACGTTAGAACTAAGGGTATATTGTATTCAATAGATTTTTCAATCAAGAAGCTTAAGCACTATAATAGATGGTCATTTGTACCACAGTTGGAGTGGAAACTAGTCTGTTCTCTTGGCTAATACAGTTCAAATTTTGTTTATAATCGAATTGGATCTTATTCTGGTCTACAGTTGGTATAGATGATTGAGTCGACAAATCGGTCTGTAATTCTTTAAGTTCTGGTTGTCACATATTTTATGCAGAAGAACTGTAACGAAGTCATTCCAGTTTATAATGATTTTTGCCTATACAAGCAGAGATTGAAGAGATCTTGTATTTTATTCAGAAGAAAAGTACCTCCATATTATGAATGACCGTTGAAAAACTCGAATTTAACGGAAAAATCGTATAAAAAACGTTATAGTATGTCAGTGTACTTAAAATTAACATTTGCCATAAGATAGATTGATTCAAGGCTTCCATATTTTCAGCTGTATGTTTAGATCGCCATTCCATTTAGTTTTTCTATCAAGTATCTCCCTCTATCTCTCTCTCTCTCTCTCTCTCTCTCTCTCTCTCTCTCTCTCTCTCTCCTCTCTCACTTCTGTAAATAACTACATAGAAATTCTCAATTATATATTGAATATTAACAGTGTGAAAGATTATTTAAAAATGGTACTGCCACGTATTTTATATTTAGATATGTGCTGAAGTCACGTACCATGTACAAGTTTTACTTTTTCAATATATGTTAAATATTACCTTTTAAATTTAGTTTTTCATAGACGTTTTGAAAAATTTTAAACAAACTTTCCGTTTTTATTTAAAGGCTAAATTTTGTTTCGGTTCAATTGCGGTTAAAATAATAACGCGAAACATTTAAATTCAAGCGTGGTCTACTTCAATTATGATTCTGGCCGTTTAATTTTTGTTTGATTGTACTAATTAAATAATTTTGGTATTGACGATCGTATAGTAAATACAATTGACATTATAGAACTTACCACATCGCAACTTTTGTCAGCCTTTAAGCACAATTTTACATTGCACTGATAGTAAACTGATGCTGTGTACGGAAATTTATGAGCTTGGAACTCCACTGAAGCTTTCGACTTATCTTCAGAATACTTGAACATTCCCATGATCTCTGGATCCGTTGGGCATCCATCCTCGCTGATCAATTTTTGTTCTCCCCATCCCAATCCATCTCTAACTAAGCAATCGGTAACGCGGATGCCATACGTTTCTTGTTCGTCTAAATTTACAACCAAGGTTAGAGGATCACCTATCTTTACGTTTTCTGCCACTTCATTCATTGTCGGGTCACCAGAGAAGATTTTCATGTTGCAGCCTGGCATTGGCGATAATGCTGTTATTGGGTCAGCTGCCATTAAACTGTTAAAAAAAATTAATTAATTACAGAATTATTACGAATCTCTGGGAGACCAGACAAGGCACATACAGAAGTAAAGGATCTGAGGAGCTGCCTTGGAGCATAAATTTTACAAATATATTTTCAGCTACTTACTCTACTTTTAGCGAATCGTTCATTACAGTGTTGTTTCTGGTGCTATATCGACATCGTATGTGGAATCCTCTTCCCTGATTTGTTACCAGCTTAAGATGAGGTTGTACTACAATCGTATTATAATATTCGATACCACCGTCATCCTGAAAAACAAAATCAGTAGATGAAAAGCTATTTATCTCTTGAAAAAGATAGTAAATTTGATACAAGTAACGAAGTAAGGTTAAAAGGTTGAAATGGGAATACGCTGGACATGTAGCTAGGAGCGATCTAAACAAATGGCACAGATCAATTTTAACCTGGAGACCATACCAACACAAAAGACCCACAGGCAGACCTCCTATGAGATGGACAGATGATCTGAAAAGGACTGCCGGGAAAAATTGGCTACAAGTAGCGTACAATAAAAACCAATGGAAAGGAAGACTTGAAGAGGCTTATGTTCAGATGTGGACGTGAATGGCTAGACGAAGAAAAAGAACGAAGTAAGGTATGTACAGGTAATATGGCCACCTTAAGAACTTTTGTCCGTATTTGTGGCCAAATATAATTTTTTTAAAAAGTAACTGTTATTACAGTTACATGGGTTATCTAAATATATATTTATTGTATAATTTTTCAAAAATTGATAAAAATATGATATTTATGACTTAATTAAAAAAATACTGCTATTGGCCATATTACCAACACGGTGTCGCTAATATGGCCACTCTACAGAAAGTAAATTTTTATATCTAATTATGAAGCTTAACACCAAATAGAATAAAATAGTTTCATTTTTTACAGTTTTATTACATGTTAAGCAAATACAGTACATAAACTTAATATTGTCTTATTTTTCACAATCAGGGCATAAGAACGTATCAATTTTGTCTTTAGCTGTGAGACCCATGCACTCTTCGTGGATATAAGTGCTACATACGCTACACAGGCTCATATCTACCATCCTGTCTTCCTTGCATAATTTGCAGAACCAAGATTCTTGGTTTTTTGTTCCCTTTTTCTTAGCAGGCAAGGTCTTAAATTTGTTTTTTGGATTGGGTAATTTTCGTAGCTTTGACGAGACTCTTTTACCATCTGTAGTATGCGTATTGGCTTCAATATTTTCTGAATCACTTTTTCCAATACATCTAACGAATAAATCTTTAGTAACAACTTGGACTCGACTGTTGATAGCTGGTTTTCTAGGCTTTTTGTTATCGTTCTTTATTTCTGCATTTTCAGGTGTTTCGAGCATAATTGTGAATGAAGTATTTTGGATGTTTGAGAAATCACTGTGATCGTCTTCTGAATCAATAACTTCATCACTGCTAGAATCATGCAAACTATAGAATAAGTCAGAGTTGCTACTATCAGTGTCTAGAAATGGTTTTTCCGGGCGATTCTTCGGTTGAAAATCCGAAGTAGAGGGACGACAAGAGTTACTACTATCAGTGACCAGACATACTTCTTTTGAGCTATTTTTCGGTTGTAATCCCAAAGTAGAATGACAACGGTAATAGTTTTGTTGAATGCCTGAAGTTGATGGCATGAATAAATCATCTGCTTTATTACAAGCGTTAGTTTCTGATAATGTGACATTCTCTTTATCTTCCTGATGTTGGTATGTGATAGTACTAGGGGCAAACTCTATCTCTGGGATAGCTTCTGGGTTGAATGGATAAATTCCCGTTGAAGAAAACCCCGATTTTATATTAGATGGTGTCATTGTTTTGTCCCAAACTGTACAAAAAATTGCCCCAAATCTCTGTTTGGTAATAACACGATCGCTATGAATAGAATAATATTTCATAACTTCATCATCCCAGTAATATTCAAAGGCTCTAAATACAGCTTTGTCCATTGGTTGGAGCTCGTGAGTAGTATTACTAGGTAAACAGTATAGAGCAATTTCGTATCTTTCGGAAGTTTTTCCAATTGTGTGATCCAAATGGCATCTTGCACCGTCAAATATGATAATACATGGACCAGCAACCTTAAATTTTGAAAAGTGTTGAAGCCAAACTGAAAACGTTTCAATATTCATGCTACCTTTTGCAGTCATTTGAACAACAGCACCTGGAGGTAGTGAGTCAACC